GATTGGCGTTCTCTAAATGCACGCTCTCCATAAATGCAAGCGCATCGTCGGTCCCGACGACGTGCATTTAGAGAGGTTTGACTGTACTTATAAAATTTGCATACCATACTGTTCGTGGAGGATAATTCTTTCTCTTCAGCAAGCCGATGACAATGATGAGCGTTACAACCGTTACTGCTATACCAGCGGCAAGAAGAGAATGAACACAAATATTGACCATTATTTATACAGGATAGTTCAATAACACAACTCAACTCTTAGAAAAATGATAAGAGTTTGACCGCCTCTTTGGAAAGCGCTGTTCACGCATGCCTTATCTAATAGGTAAGCAGGTGTTTTTCTTGCATACAAGCTAAACCATTTATGTCATTACAAACGCCTGTGTACGACGCTAAAGGAATAATGAAAGATATGTGCAAACAATCTTTAGTTGAAATGATCGTGGATATTGGTAGTATTAAAAATGACGGAGATTAAAATTAGTTGATGGAAAGCATCATTTACTTGTAATAAACAACCTATATGTGCGTGCTCCGCTGAACGAAAACAACTAGCGGTTAATCGTAATTTGAATCTGTCAGACGGCAAAGACTACGAACTTTGACTCCTGCATGGTTACGTTACATCACAACGCCATAAATTGCACAAGAATATAAATCAACTTTAGCACGTATTGTAGCTTTGATGTCAGGGTATACATAATAAACCATTTCCATCCCCCAAGTTTTCTTTGAAAAGTTTATTTTCTTATCATATCATATCAAACTGTAGTTATCATATCGTATCATATCATATTTTACTCTATCGCTCCTGATTACCGAAAACCCCCCAAAAAAATCTAAAAAATAACTATGACAACCTTAATAAAGAATCCTAGCTTCATATTATTATTGTATCGTATCATATCATGTTAATAAAGAATGCAAAACCTCAGCACATCATAGCATATCATAGCATATCATATCAACTATAAAATCGTAGACTCGTCATAAATCAATTAAGCAGATGGCTTATAGACATTTTTTGATGAATTCTAACGGCTTCGGCTTCTGACGACTGACGAATTCTAATGGCTTCTGATCGCCGCATTGAATACCAGCAATTTTTGACCATTTGAGAAGTGCGACGAGGAAGATTTGCCGCAATCCTACTCCACTGTGGTCCATAAATTCTATAAAATTCCTTTATCATTTGGCGCTCAGTGAGGGAGAACGATGTAGCATTAACTAGCAAATATATAATATAGGCATCTTAATAAGCATGTTGTTTATAACGATTGTATGTATCAGGAAGAACTGAAGAGGCCTTACTGTTATCATAAACAGCTTAGTAAGACTTACTTCCAGGGCGTAGGCAATTATTCCATCTGAAAGATTCGCATTGAAGATGTATTATTAGTCGCAACAGCCCGGGTGCAATAGTTATCCAATTTAGTGTTTAATATACTAAACCGTAAAGTCACTTTGACACTTATCCCACCTCTCAGCACATTCTTTTGCGGATCGTTCATCGAGTATCGAAGAAATTTTAACCCATCGTGGGCCAAGGTTTCTAACGCAAGTTCTCAGTTCGTTGTCTTCCTGTGGTAATTATAATAACTGGTGTTAGCATAATAGTTTGCTTGTGTACCATTATAGTTGAGGATTACAATACCTTAGCGGTCCAGCTTCGCTTTGACTTGGGCATAATATAAACAATCTTAAAAGATGTGAATGTATTTTTTGTTAGGGATGACTGATAAGCTTAATTTATCCGCAGTGAACTCACTTCCCCCTCACGTACAGTTGGCCTATCAAAAGTCACCGGCACCCTCAAAATTTACCAGTAAAACATATGGAATGTCTTTCTTTTCAAAAATCTCTCCGGCACATGTGTACTATACGAAAGATAATATTTTCTTTTGCATGGTTCGGAAGCTAATTGATTGCGCTTTTCCAAAAAATTAACATAAAAATTTTTATATATTATCGTTATAAATCAATAACTTGACGAAGTGTGCGTATACGTGCTATACATATATAATTATAGATTTTCATATCGTGACTTAAAGACAGCTATTTCAACTTGCTACCACTTTATAACAACAATATATATAATTTTATGTTAATTTTTTGGAAAAGCACAATCAATTAGCTTTCGAACCATACAAAAAAATATTATTTGTATAGTACACATGTGCCAGAGAGATTTTTGAAAAGAAAGACATTCCATATGTTTTACTAGTAAATTTTGGGGGTGCCCGGTGACTTTTGATAGGCCCCTGTACAATTGTATTACAAATAGTGGTGTCTCGTCAGTAAATAAGTAGACATATATGTTGCAGAAAGAATGACATTGCATAACCCAGGTAGAAACTGTAAAATATGGACACAACAATGTTTTCGTTTCAAACGATACCGCGTCTTTCTTGCAATTCTGTTTCGCTTCAATGGGTTGAATTTCGAATTACCTTTTGGCAATTAAAACGTCTTCTTACCAAAAAAGGGTCTATTTAGAATACCATTTTGTTTTCTTTTGGCTGGGCTGTCGAGTTGCCTAAAGACATAATTGATCTTCGTCTCCATCATACCTGATTCAAAATACAAGTCCGTTTGTTATAATTCAATACAAAACACATACTTTGGCTTAGGACTTTCATTACCAGGTACTATTTTTGTAAACTCAAAATGTCGTCGATAGACTTCCATTCCGAAGCCTTCGATTCGAAATCGCTCAATACAACGAAGACGCAAAATGCAATATTAATATAACAAAATCTAAACCAAGTGACTGACAATACACCATTAATGAAAATTAAGCCATGGCCTTTTAGTTTTTTGACGTAATGATTTGGCTGTTTTCTTTAAAAATATGTCAGTTGGTCTTACAAAAAGTTTGTTTCGATAAATTACTGTATTTCGTTCAAATAGGTTATAATTCATAATAATAATATGATATTGTAGCAAGAGAGGTTATACTGTATCGGGGCAACAAGGCATTAGATGACTTTAACAAAAGATATTCAAAAAAATTGTATTAATATATATATTTATATATATTATATATATTATATATTTGCAATTTCTGGGAAACAAAAGAGAACGTGATAATGGTCCTTTGCCGGTATATGTACTGTAAAACTTGATAAGTCGAACAAAATCTCTCTGCCCTTTTCTTAAAATTCTCTCGATAAGTCGGACAGCCATGCCCAGCCGACTTGTCGAGTTTACCTATGTAAAGTCTCCTCAAAAAGGGATCACAAACTAAATTAATTAATAAAATACACAGCGAACCTGGATATAACAAAGTGGTCTGTTCCAGTACTTTTCTTCACTATATCCAGGTTTCGTTATATCCAGGTTTCCTCTTTATAAGGAAGTCTTGTACAATTTCCTTGTAGCTTCGTTACAAACAGGTCAATCACGTGCCATTTGTATTACCCGCCAATTTCGATATAATGATAATGAATTTTGACTAATACTAAATCAAATTTAATTAATTGAAGACGTTCGTCAGATGGAAATTTACTGTACATAAAATAAACCGACTAGTACTACACATTGAAGGTCACGTATTCCTCAAGAGTAGTTTGTCGTGTTAATTCTACACCTGTTTGAGAGCTTTTTTTCCTTACATTAGAAAGAGCGATTATACAGAATTATAATTTTTTTGTGCGATGTATGCAAGCATGTTACGTATGTATCACAACCCAACAACGCTTCAGAGCTTGTTACGATATCGTTCTTCAAAAAGTTCTTCTTCCTCTAATGTTTCAATATGATTAACAGTATCTACAATCTAACGTTCTCGTCAAAAGAGGAATGAAATTCGTTATCGAAAAACTTCGTTATATTCTTATTAGCTGACAGATTTAAAACTTCGTAATAGCCAGTAACCAGGTTTTCCTAATTAAATTTAGTTTTCTGTCCCCAATCGAACACGATTAGGTTTAGGCTTTGTTTAAACCGAAGTTTGCTTTATTCAAAGGTTGTCAAGATAGAAAGAATATATTCCTACGCCAACTATTGTTAACACACATTTCAAATGTAATAAAAACTATATAAAGATTTCCATTTATGTAGAGTTAATTGATTCAAAGCTTAGTAATGTACTAGGCGAACGTTGTAATTTTCGCTGATGATTTTTTCGGGCCAAAATTGAATAAATGCCTCCCTTTATACAAACCCATACAAATTTAGTTTAGGGTCCAACCAGATAAATTACGAAGACACCATTCTTTTCTAACTTTCAACATACCAATATCAATTTACTAATTTTGACTTGTCAAAACATTTACTAGCAATGCCTTTGAATATCGAACACTGCATCCATAATAATGATAAACATATTCAGCAAATAATAAAAATTAATTAATTTCAGTCCTATACGCAAGCTTAATTGAAGAATGGGAAATGAGCAAGTAAGAGCTTATTTGTGACATACAGTATATTCCTAACCTCTGACATTAGAATATGACTAATTACTGTATATGCAGATTTTCGCCTTTTTTGCGTTTCGCATCACACTTGTTTTTGACATTGAACTTTCACATCCGTGATATTGAGAGTTGCAATCGCTAGAAAGAATTAGAGACGAGTTTTGCTCATGCAGTTCTATAATACTAACAAATCTTCCCGTAGCAACTACATTTCGAAACAGCGCGCCATACAAAAATTCGTTGTGTTATATCAAAATCAGGTTTCTTATTCCCTTATCATTGTTTGGCACAGACATTTTTTCGTATGCTTGAAGAACGTTAAAGGGCTAAGCGAGTGCGTTATTTGGACGTGTTTACACGCGTTTCCGATTGTTCAATAAGAGCATTATAAAAAAGTCTATCTTGCACACAATACTTTAAAATTACTCAATGGGAGTTGGATAAAATTTTCGGCAAGTGAAAATATAGTTATTTTACGAATTCTAGCTCTCCAAAGTTACCAAGATAACATTAGGTAATTACGATCAATAAAGAGCATGTATAACTATTACTATGTGCTTTCAATTTACAATTACAGAACGGGCAGTGGGGGTTGTAACATTTTCTTTATATTCTGAGAACCTTCACCGACAGTCATTTCACGTGACACATTGTTTATCGCACTTATCATTGGTTTTCGATGAAATTTATGTCGGTGAAACGTACTGTCGGTGTCATGAAATGAACCGGACCCGTATAAAGTGTACTGTATTAGTATATGTAGTGTTGGCCAAATGTACTAGTGTGATAGCGTGATCAAAGATATATGTTGGATAAGTTGTTCGGGGCGAATAAATATTGAACTTCGCTTTGGTCTATTCCAAAATTGGAACAGTGATGGATACTATTAACCGACAGCTAATCCGATCGTTTAAATAAACTGGGCGAGACGAGGGAACTAAATCCGGAGCACGTTTTATAAAATGTTTTAGCATGCAAAAACTTTTACCTGTATTTTCTAAGACATCTGCATTCCAATACATAAAATGGTTCATCAACATTTTTCAGATATTCACTTAAAGATCAGAACGTAACAATTGAAAATCACACCATACTTATTAACACTTACATGGTGCAATTCTTAAATGTGAAGAAAACTTTTCACTCTGATTTCCTGATGATTTGATCCATCGATTATATACTTGTTTATATGTACATATGGTCTACTTGTTAGAACTAGTAGTATTATGCTGAATTATGTATTTTCCAAATTTGCCAAATTGCTCAATGTCTCTCCTAGATACTTTGCTAATTGTCTGCATGAAGCAAACATACAAGCTAACTCATCCTCGTATGGTGTAAAATATGGCACCACAGCCTTAACTTGACTAAGATTCCTAAGAATCAATGCTGCTGTCAAAGGAATCCCAATAGCATCTCCGCTTTCGTCAGACTGGAGATAGATTTTTGGACAATCGTTGTATGATCTCGGATCTCGTTTTGCCGGGGTAGTTACAGCGGGGTAAGTTTTACCTGATTTTTGTGATGTGGGTAGTTGTTGAGATGGGGTTGGTTGTTGCGATAAGGGCGATTGTTGAGATGGAGGTGATTGTTGAGACGGAGGTGATTCTTGTGGTTGAGATTGTTGTTGCGATGGGGTTGGTTGTTGAGATGGAGATGATTCTTGTGGTTGAGATGGTTGTTGCGATGGGGTTGGTTGTTGAGATGGAGGTGATTGTTGCGATGGGGTTGGTTGTTGAGATGGGGGTGATTGCTGAGATGGGGGTGATTGTTGAGACGGGGGTGATTGTTGAGACGGGGGTGGTTGTTGAGATGGGGGCGATTGTTGAGATGGGGATGATTGTTGAGATAGGGGCGATTGTTGAGATAGGGGCGATTGTTGAGATAGGGGTGATTGTTGAGATGGGGGTGATTGTTGAGATGGATGTGGTTGTTGAGATATGGGTGATTGTTGAGAGGTGGATGGGGGTGTGGTAGAAGACGGGACAAGAGGCGAAGCAATACTTGCAGCAGTGGTAGGAATGATAGACGTATTTGCGGTGGGAACAACAGAATTCGTAGAATGATAAGATGCTGATGGATGGGAATTAGTGGTCGCCTTCCTCCTTATCCCATGAACAATATACTTTTGCCCTTCAGACGTATTCACCATCATGGCAACGGAATTCGGACATGCTTGAGATACAAGTTTTATTACTTCTGCAGCCGGCATCATAGTATGCGGTATCTCACGGAATTCGTCACGATATGCAAACCATACTTCAGTCTGCAGTAGGCTGTCCTTGGGAGATGATTCAAAAGTGTCTTTTAACCTTTGCGTGGGAAAAAAAATGATTGGCCGTGAGTATACAAATGAATGCAGAAAGCGGACACAAGACAAACACGATGAGGTTCTTATAGCTACTATCCCTAAGCGTCACTCTTGATGCCGTGTTACCTCCTTTCGCACTCTATTCGCTTTCCCATCGCTCTTCTCCGCCAATATCACTTACCACTCAACACATCTTTGTGGTTCTTCCAAACGTGCCCATCTTGCTACACGATGTTGTACAAGCCCTTCCGTTCCCTTGCCTAGAATAAATTCTTCGTAATCTTCTACCGCCCCATATTTTAAAAAATGTTTCACTAGCTTGACAAAATTTCCCGGTGCTTGTTTCACAATGTCCAAAGCCGTTTCATCATGTATGCTAGTGAACTGATAAAACCAGTCCAAGCATGCCGAAATAAGATCCTCATCGTTAACAAGTAGCAACTGACACATACGTTCCACAGTTGATGCGTCCAGTGTTCGGAATATGAGGACATTGTGCTCAGTCGAAGCAAGATTAGTTAGCGAACGGATAGAAGATAGAACAAGACACCGGTCAGGAGAAAAGAGCATGGACGAAAGAAGGGCAAGGAGAGATTCAGATTTGAATCTGAGTGTTATGTAAGAGCACATGTTTTCTATCGCGTCGAGGCAGTATGTGCGGAGCTCATACCAATTTGAGACAGTTTGGGATGTTATTCCTTCCATCAGTAGTTCTCTCAGTGGTTTATAGTGTGCCATCAACCTTGCATTATGTCCCTCGAAGCTCAAATTTCTGATTATTAAGAGTGCTTGTATTGCTTGCGCGTATTCTTTCTCAGTTTCTTCTGTGTTCCACCACCCTCTTAATCCACAATGACATGACCAATATTCTTCCCGTGAAAGCGTATCGTCACGGTTCTTCCGACATATATCGTAAAATGGTTGAACGAATGAGAGTAGCGTGTCGATGAGTCCAGGAATGGAGTCAATGTAGAGTAACGAGGGTTTCTCGTATGAAAGAGTAAGAAGTTTGGTGAATGCCCACTCTACTTCATTTGGGAGATATGATTTGAAGGCGAGCAGTATTCTATTATGATGGCCACCCGTTAAGTCATTGTCTTTTCGTAAGATAATTATGAATTACGCAATGGAAAAGTTGAGAGTGGAGATAACGTTAGTGAAGTCAAATATGTAATATCGATATGCTAATCACTGTGCAATGGAAACTGTTCGTTTTGAAACTATTCTCAGATGTGAGACTAAATTTATCAACTCTTTCAATTACCTAATACTTGTCCGCTGGGTCCATAAGAATATGACATATCAGGAATAGAGTTAAAAGAATGCTTCTGCCCTGATGATCCAAGCGATCTCGACAGACCGATACCTAGATACACAAGAAAAGTAATCAAAGTTGATTCTGAATATTAACATAATGACGTTCTCCATCAATAAATGCACGCGAGAACACCACCCTATTAATTATCTCTATTCCGTGCATCATTCATACCCAACACCAATCTTCAAACAGTATCACGTTACTATACTCACCGCCTCCACTTCCCGCACCACTTACATTTCCTCCATCTCTAAGTCCTTTTATATTTCCTCGTACATCATCTCCAAACACTACACCTATTCCAATTGTCTCTCCCCTTCCTCTATCCCTCTCCTTTCCGCTACCCTCTCCAATGTCTCTCTTCCAATCCTTTTGTCCCACAGGAATACTGCTCGGTAACCCCCCATATGGAACGGGCTTCCCCCATAAATGCTCCATTTCAAATGCTTCAAGATACTTTGCATAGACTGTTTTCATGACGTACGCGGAGTTGGTACACGTAGATGGGAAATTAAATGGAATGGTTACTTTTTTCCAACCACGCTCTTGAGAAACTTTCTCAAATCCTCCAGCCGCAACGACCATGCAATAGATTTTGTACAAATCAAGCTTTTTGGATCCGAGGACAGGTTCTTTCTGAAGTACCGTGCTGGATACGGGAAAGATAGGGAATATATATTTAAATTGGAAATTGTCGCGAGACTAAACCCGAGTTGTGTTATACAAGGGTGACAAAGAACTAAAACATACACTAAATGCAACTTATACAATATTGCTGATCTTGGTTTGTCAAGTCTTTCACGGTCCGACAGTCAAAGTTGTGTCAATCAGAAATCAAAACCGTATGGACTTGTATTTTTTACGAGTGTTCTAACCCTTCCTTTCGTTACATATTAATAGTGTCTAAACTCACCCATGAGAAATATGGAACTCTTCCAGTTTTTTCATAAACACGTTATATTCCGGTGTTCGCTCTATTGTGTCATCGACTTGTTTAGACGTACGTGGTGCTGAGCGCATAACGCTCATGTTTATAGGTATACTTTGTAAAGGATAACAAATAATAAGATTTTGTTCGCAAAATTAAGCCTTTTATATTTTAGTATAAAATCACGTGTATATTTGTTACACGAGCCGTTTATAGATCACCAGTCGATCTTTAATATTAATATTAACCCCGAGTAATAGTAAAGGCATTTACAAAATTATTGTTGATGTAATAGAAGTTTATTAATTCCTGGGGTATTTCCAAATTCTAGTGGGACTACATCGAGGCAACTCTTTTGTAATCATTTATGATTGTTTTCCTACTCTGGCGCGATAGATTAGCGGATATTTAACCGCTTATGAGCACGCTACAACTAATTATGGGTAGAGCGTATTCATTAGTGCACCGAGGCCTGATTTGTAGGCTCACTGTTTTATGCCAAAATAAGTGTTCTTTCTGATCAACAGTTAGATCATCATTTCACACTCGCTGATAGTCGAAAATGCATTCCCAATCTCGTCAGAGAACCGTCAACCATACACGGATACCAACAGAAAACCGATTCTCTATTCACAATATTCAGTTACATGTACACCACAATTATGCTGTACGCAACACTAATTGCCATCTTCACAACGCTCGTCTTTTCTGTTCATTCCTTTCCGTCTTCGCAAACTCGACTGAACACTGGCACACCGGCCAAGTTCTTGCATATCACGGGTAAATATTAATATTGTTATCTAAAACATTCAAATCATTTCATACAAATCATTCATATTTACTTCTCGCTTTCAATAATGAAGACATTCACGTAGATCCACACTACCGTCCGCACACCTCTCCTGCTTTGTCTTGTCATCGCCGCTCTCTTAATTCACCCAACACTGCCCTTACCTACGGGACTGTAAGCACGCTTTGTGATACTCCATTTATCACATCGAATGCGACATTTGATTTCCTTCGTAATGAAGTATCGCCTGTACAATTCGTTGTCTATACTGGAGACAGTGTACGACATGATAGGGATGAACTGATGGAAAGAACGTATGCAGAAGTAGAAGAAGGAAACAGGATGGTAGTGCAATGGTTTGTGGATGAGTTTGTTAAGAATGGTATCGCAGTAGTGAGTATTTATTTGGGTTTAGAGACGGAAAGGAAATTGGGGATACGAGAAAGTGAACATAAGGAAGTCGCAAAGTAGAAGATAAATACATATTTTGTGTCGAATCGTCGGACGTAAGATTATATTCATTTTGTCTTACTCATAATCTCTTGTCAATCTATCACCGCCTTTTTTATCGTATCCATCGGCCTTACATCATCGGTCCTAGATTCCAACGATAGGTAACAACGACGTATACGGTAAGATAAGGACCAAAGTCTTCCCTCAAATTATATCGCTCCTTTTTACGCCAGGGGTCATAGTCGAAACAGTGGCTTCCTCCCCATCCCGAGATTTCAAGATTTTAAGTGCTCAATTTTTAGCAAATTTATATTTAATTCTTATTTTCTGGTTAAAAGTGATGCTTCCATTGCTCTAGTCTGTTTGCTGTTGGTTTCTTGTGTAGCTTCGTTCGCATTTTCACATTACTAATCTTTGTCTTATCATCCAAAAAGAACACGACTCTCTCCCGCCTGGTCCAACACCATTCCTAAATACTCTCTTTCATATCTGGAAACCATTCAATCTCAACCTAACATCTTCCTTCCTTCGTGGAGGCTACTTTCGTCACGATCTTCCCGACAGTCCACTAACATTTATTTCTATGAACTCAATGTATTTATATAATGGTAATGGCCTAGTCGGTGATTGCACTGAAGGAAGTATAGGATGGGAGATGCTGAGATGGATGGCAGGAGAAATGAGAGATCTGAAGGGAAGAGGGAGGAGAGTCGCAATACTACAGCATGTGCCACCGTTCGATTCTAAAGGTAAGAATGATTAACAATATAGTGGAAGGTAGAAGCGTTCAAATACGCTCGAAAAGATATGCTGTATATCGTACAGTCACGACGCATCATTTGTAAGTAAGGCTATCGGTATATCGACTAATCACATTTGATTATCAGGAACGATCGACTACTTCCCTAAATGCTATGAGATGTACGTTGATATTCTTGGTCATTACTCTGGTATAATCATTGGACACTTTGCAGGTAACTTTAAATTCGCAACAGCCAATTAGAACGAAGAGGAATAAATAGAAGCACTCGAATTTTACTAACTTTGATATACTGTACATGTACCGTTTGTCTTTCGATTCAGGGCACACGAACGGTGACACATTAGCATTTGTAACTGAATCGAGTGAAGGATACAAGATGTTCCCTGTAGTGAAGGAAAAAAAACCTGCAAAGAATTCAATCAAGAACGTAGTATTGGTATTAAATAATGCGCCGTCAGTTATTCCTGGTAAGAGAATAGCAGATAAGTGAATAAGTATTGGTTCTTTCCCATCCCTTTCATATCTACTGTCTTTACCTGTTTATGGCAATTCCACAATCTTTTCGCAATAACCTTCTCTTTTATAAAACGTTAAGCCAATAATCCAGGATTACGTGTCTATCACTACGCAACCTCCCCTCATAACTATGGTCATCTCCTCGACTACGTCCAATATTATGTGAACATGACGCAAGCCAATCTGGCTAACAATCTCGAATACAAGATCGAATATACTGCAAGTGATGCATACGGTTTGAAGTCATTAGGGCCAAAGGAATGGATGAACGTACTGCGCGAGTTTGAACGGGATGACAGTGAGGCTTGGAAGAAGTACTGCTTATATCAGACTGTTAGTGTGACTGACGGATAAATAATATGTTTAGCAACTTTCTTTTTTTTGTTGATTATTATTTTGCTTAATTACTTGCTTCATATCTCTTTTTTTCGTATTTCTGAATTACTTGTATTCTATCTTGGTTTATCATTAATTCTTCTATCCCGGCCCGTTAGGAAATACTTTCCACAATTAATAATAATCGATGTTAATCTAATGCTGATATGTATTCTGTAATAAATTAAGAATACATTGACTTACATAATTAGTAACATTTATACGTTTCTAAAATGTACGTTCTTTTGTTTCTTTCATTCAAGATCTCTATAAATAAATCTATGCATTATGGTGAATAGTTGAATATAAACCGATTGGGATAAAATGTCTTCATTATGTAAAATTTGGGCATCAGCATTGTGTCATTTTGAAACAGATTAAAAGATTGTCATAATCATAGCAAGCCTTGTCGGTAACGTCTTCTTCTTGGAATGAATCGAAATCGCGTTCATTCTATGTATTTGCAACGCTTGGTATCGCTTTGCAACAAAAAAATTGCTTTTTTTTTCCCTGTTAAAGCGAGTTGGTGAATTTTCGAACACTCGATAAACGAATTGATTATTAAAGACATCTTAATTATCACAATCAATTGGTTCATTTACGCGTTACGTTTTCATAAGGAGTGACAAGAAATGTAATATAGTAGAAATGGCAAATAAGTTAGGATACAATTGTAGTAGGCATCCTGCTTTCATAAGATTATTGTACTTCCTTTAGCCAAAACCCCCCTGGCGAAAGACGTTTTTCGATTAGCTTAGAAAACTGTGCTTATGCTGATTGAACCACGCAGATTATGCGCTTATAGTAAGGCCGCTCGATGTAGTCTGAAAATTAGAAATTTTGTATTTTCCTTTCCATTTGACAAAAAAAATTTTTTAGCTGCTTAATAAACTTCCCATGCTAGTGACATAAATTGGTGGCCGCAGAATTGCTTAGTGATGCGGTTTCCGAAGGCTACTTCTCTGAAGCAGGTAAATACAGCAGTCGACTATCGCTGAACATTTAACCGTCTATGGTTTTTCAACTTCACCTGTGTTTTAGTATGTTCTTAGGCAACAAGTTCTTCAACTGTATAGAGACATAATAAGAACATCACGCTGTAAGATTTATCTTGGGTGCATCAATATTTCGTCTCTTTTTCTTGTCAATGCAATATGATCTTCTTCCTTTTTTTTATTACGTAGTGATCCCTAATAATAAAGACAGAGCAGACACACTGAGATGGGTTAGAACCGAATTCGAAAATGCATATGGGGAGACAGATATTGTAAGCACACCCGACTATTAACATTAGTTGATCAATTGACTACGATTCCTTACTAATTCTTTGTCACAAAGGATAAGATAAGACAGAGACTTGTTGAAGGACAAAGAGAGTTAAGAGACATGAAGGGAAGTCTCGAAAGGAGCTTGTCTGATGGACATTGGAAAAGAGAATGAAACAATAGGATGTCATTATACGAATTCCGGTTGAGAAAGTGTTCAGAACAATAATCAAAAAATTAGTGGACATGTTAAATCAGTATGTCTGTTAGCAGCTAGTAAAGGGTGAGCCACTAGAACTCTACCAGCGTGTAAATATTATATGTAAAACCTCGATAACTCAACGTTATGCCACCTGATTCGTAACTTTTGAAGATTAACTAATGATTTGGGAACTTTCTTCTTGGCAATCAACACACCAAGCTTTTGTAATAATCATGCATATTACCAACAGTTGCATTTTGTCATATTGTCATGCCTGTGCCAATTTATCTTATAATAATATCACATTTTATTGTTATTTTATAATGTAACAAAAGAGTTAACTAAATGACTATTATAAATATATAGAGGTAAATGACAAAATTCAGAAGTTTAATAACATTATTAATAAGAGTAGTAATAATCAATAAATGGCCATTTTAATTATAATCTTTTAATTTTAATATTAAATGTTAATCACTCATTTATATTAGGCTGGAACTTTGCCTCATGTTTCTTTAGTTCATTTAGATACTTGATAATTTTCATTTTTTTAGCAAGACTTTGTACTATATTTATACTATGCTCCAACAGTCTGATGCCTTTGATAAAACTTTTTTCATCTCCCAATTTTGCTCCATAATCGGCCAAATCTTTCATACAACGCAAATTGCCATGCTCCGCACCTTTTTCATATAATGGTAAACATTCTTTCTTCATTCTTTCAAAAATTTCATTTGCATTTTCAATGTCACCCATTTCATACAACTGATTTCTCAATATTGTAGCAGCAAACAGACTTTCCTGTGCTCGAAATTGAACAGCATCCATCAACCCCATTTTTTCAGCAATTATCAAATAACTCACTCCACGGTCTGGATTTTTCTCAAAGTCAATCTTCAAATCCATAAGATAACGACCAACATAAAAATTGGCTTCAGCAGCAGCCTCCTCACAATCTGCCAATGTTTTGAATTGTTTGAATGCTTCTTCATAGTTGCCAACAGAATGAAAAGCACATGCACCTTGAATTGTTATATTGTTTAAGGTGTAGTTGACTGCATGGTTGGGAATAAACAAACCAGTTGTCTCCCTAGAGTCCATTCCATTCTTTGGTGGTTTAAGTTCTCTAAGCTGTCTCACAATAGCCTGTATTGAAGGACGTTTGGTAGGATCTCTGTTCCAACAAGATGTCATTATATTTACATATACTTGGGGTGTGTCCTTAATTATTGGTAGCTCACTTGTATAGTCTGCATTCCCCAGTAATTCAAATACTTCTTTTGGAGTTTTATCCTTAAATGGGACATCATGTGAAGACATCTCCCACATGAGCAGACCAAAACTATAAATTATAGTATTTAACGTCAGGTAACAAAAAAATTGGTAAATTGAGATACTTGTTTCAAGTAATTAACTGCTTAATATCAAACAATTACTAAATAGATTATTCAAAGGCAACAATTAATTATGAGTAAAGTTGTATACCTGTATATATCAGATGCTTTGGAGGAAGGCAAGTGCGGATTTTGTGCCTTTTCAGGACAAGTCCACCGAACAGTTTCTAATTGTTTATTAACATTCCGAGTACTATCGCCTGATCTTGTATAAAGATTACTTTTTAATCTTACATTTTTGTCTTTATCTACATATATCTGATGACTGTGAATGTAATTGTTGTTAGTAAAAGCAAACAAGTATTATTTATGTGTGCAATAAATCATTACACAAATGCTTACCTTGAAATGTTCCTATAGAGAATGAGTTTGTCATGCAGAATTGCAATTGCTTTTGCCATATGGTAAACCATTTTTATTTTCCACTCCCATCCAAGATCCTTGTGTTTTTGCAAATATTCATGGAGTGATCCGTTATCTGCCCACTCTATAATTTGATAGTAAAGACCATCCTTTGATAAAACCCCAAAGCTTTTTGTTTGAAAATATCAAAAGCTATTAATTTTCTGTATCAAATATTTTGAACATTTAATATCCAGAAAACACTCACTTTTTTAAAAAAAATTTGGAATTCAACTTGGAATGAAAATAAGCATTTCTGTAAAAGCTTCGAAAATCCACATGGTAATAAACCAAAGTCCTTGCAACATAAATATTTGTTTTGTACAACACTTTGTTTCCATACTGGTTCCCATCAATGAATTGAATCTGATTTGGCTCAATAGAAATACTTCGTAGTCGCTGTTGTGACAATCTTACACCATTGTGAATGGCTGAAGTAACAAATTCATCCTTGACTCTTTGAAAGAACAATCGCAACATGGTCCTTGTATGAGCAACATTATCAGTTTTCTCTAATGGGCCAGTTTCCTCTCTATCAGATATTTTCATACAAACAAGTTCTGCTGTCAGCATGGAATTGTTTTGCAGTACCATATGTATGTTTGCTGCTTTAAGGGCAACCTCCAGATCTACAAAAAGTTTCTCCAGTTTTTGTTCAAACTTTTAATGCCATAATTATAAGTCAGCTATACAGTCATGTTTGAATTAATAATTCCAAATTGATAAAACTTTACCTCAGTCATAATATCAAACCGTGATAATACTCTAATCTTAGCTTTAGTATAATGCACCAGAAATCTTTCCCACTCCTTCAATGCCTGCACCAACTTCGGCACTCGGCTCTTAATAATGTTACCCTCTTGTTCCCGAATTAATCGTCTCACTTCGTCTAAATACAGAATCATGCTATCCAGTGCGCGTATGTTACAATCAGCTTCGGCACGAAGATCACATATTCTTTTTATAGTATCATATGCTTCGGCCACTCCAAGAAAGAATAATTCCTTCGCTACAGGTGACAAAAGTTCTACATTCTTGCCAAACCATCCCTTCTCGAACTCACATGTAGTCAGCGAATAATTAGAATTATCGGGTGGAAGTTGGGTGCATTGATAGAATTTGTCCATATTTAAGCTTAGAATGCTAAAAGAGACTTCCGATGAACTTTGTGTTGCAATAAATATCAATAAATATGTGTCACGTGCTGCATACTCTCCAAGTTCGTATCGCTTGTGTTATCTATGTTTCATTAGGGCATGAACTTCCCCCCTTGGGTCGGTCGACATATGGGAACATAATCACAAAATTCTTAGCCATACTAGTGATGAGTACATGCAATACGTCGAAAATTTCTTGCCGAAAGAAGGTATTAGAAGCCAATGCGGCTACTTTCTAGTTTGAGTTACTTATGCACGACATCTATTTCTGGATCGATGCTTGCATTCTATGTAATATATTAGGCTAGGCATTTATGCGTCCGTAGATCCTACCAAATATCAAGTTTAAATGAAGAGTGGGCAATGCTAAAACGAATGAGTGATCCGATAATGTGATAATATTAAAATAATTATAAATTAGCTGCGCCTATAATTGGTGTTGTTCTCTAATTTGTCGAATATTAATAGATTCGGACAACGTTCTGCCATAAAAAGTGTTTTTCTCGAACTCTTTAGATGTTTGAGGTTCCCAGTGAGTTTGCAGTCGATATAACGAAAGGTTTATTAGGAAACACTCCGTAAGCACATTTACTGGGAAATTGATGACAATAGTAACTGATTAGTTCAACTTCACGATGAATTGGCAAATTTAGTTTAATGAAAAAGCGGCTAATCATTCTATCACCCCCCCCATTACACGATTCGATTTGTGTTAGTTTAACCAAAGACATGTAATAATCCCTTCACTTTTTTATTATTACACAGTCCAAAACATCATACACAAATTAAGTCAAAAAGTAAAAATACAATAGGTAAAAGAACGATATCATGTAAGAATGACATCAACAAACAATGACGTCGAAGCGACGTTTAATAATACTTAATAAATTCTATCTATATCCGTATTCCATTTGCAAATTTATAGTTCACCCCATTCCCTCACACTACTCCTCCTATTTTCTGCAAACTCATCATTATCACCACTCCTCCCTCGTGCCCTTCTCATACTTGAATTTCTCCTTGGGACGGACTCTAAGCTTTCTGTTAAACTAAACTGCCTCCTTAAAGAAGGGTTGCTGGAGATCGATGAAGATCTTATGACCCCACTATTAGAAAGCAAATCCTGTGTCAAGTCGCCCGCAAGCGGTGTATTTTCCCCCGGTGCACTATTACCCGACATTTCAGGCAAAGTTTCGTTCGTTCCAACATCCGATTGTAGAAAATGTGAATATACCACACATACAATAGGAAAGGCGCCTTCTTGGTGTGTGTTTTGATTATACCCAACTGCCCAGCCATCGTCAAAAATACGTCGTACAATAATAGAATCGTTGGGAGTTAGATTCAACTCATCCTGGAGTTGGGATGCGTACGGATGGACAACAATGACGATGTTATCTTCGTCTGGCGGAAATGTGATTGGCCCGGGCAGGACTGTTGGATCGTCGCCTATGTTCGGAACGTCAACTGATTCGACATCAACTGGGACGATATCTGCTGTGGTTTCAACCATTGAATCGCCACCCGCCAGGTTGTTAAACGTGTCAAATGGTGGATTGCCAAACGGTGGATTCCCAAACGGTGGATTCCCAAACGGTGGATTGCCAAGCGTTGGATTGCCCTCCAGATTTCTAAACGGTGGATTGTCAACCGACGAATTATCAACCGCCAGATTGCCCGTAACCAGTGGATCGCCGCCGCCGCCTGGAGAACCGACCAAATGCGCGGCTGACCCTCTTTTGATAGTCACGCTGCTTGCGTTTGAGGATCGATCAGGAGTACGAGGATCAGGAGGAGTAGGATCGATTGATGGCACACGCTCGTGCTTCGGTTTATCTTTAATGCAATAATAAAACAATGCTATCCCTATTGCTACTCCCACAACAGCCACCGAACCGAATATTAATCCCCACATTACAGGCTCACCTAGCCCATTTGATTTCGAGGAGTCAGGGGGTAGAGAGGATAGAGTTGTGACTGTTGGCGTGGCTGGGCGTGTAGTAGTAGTGTTATTATTGAGCACAGTTTTGGGGGGACAGCCATTGCAGCAAGCTTGCGCTGTTGTGTTCTGTTTCGAGCAGAATTCGCAACGGGATGCTGTGTCCGAAAAACCTGTAGAGAAGATAACGATAATTAAAAGATAAGCCAAAGGAGAATCAAATTAAATGTGCCCTATAAGTAGTAATATGTTTAAATGTCCAAGTAAAATGATGGAATGAAGGAAATAAAATACTATAATACGAAAATATGGATCATGCAAATTTTCATAATTCGCCCTCAAAAATCCTTTCCAATCAACGTACCACAAGTCGTATTCTCGTTTGCAGCTCCGGATATACAATCACCATCTCCATCTGGCTTCTGACACAAACTGTCAAGCCTTTGCGCCAAGTCCCCCAACTGCGAACCATTCCCTCCGGGACATAACGTCTTGTTTCCAAGTGTTTCGCCCAGGCTCGCATGAAAATCGTCACAAGTCTGTGCACAAATTCCCGGCGACTTTTTGCCACCAGCACTCTCACTGCACGTTTGCGATATCGGGTCGTTGACTAAATCTGCGCAAACGAGTGTCAACGTGAATCGAGCTGGCGGAACAGAAGGGCACCCAACGGCAGCGTATTGAGCGGTATTGTTAACATAAGCCTTGATGGCATCATCGAACGCGGTGATGTTGTCGACGGATGTAAGGAAGGTGTAGAATGTTAGGTAACTTCCAGGTGTTATAGAGTAACCGGCAACTTCCGGACATGCTTTGCTGCCATTGAGTGGAAAGCACGGGGTAATGGAGTGAATTGGGTAAGGGAAGCAAAAGAGGAGGAAGAAGGATTTATAGAACAAAAGGTGACGTGTAGATAAATGTTTAGCTAGTATTTTAGATCGAATCGTAACAGCGGATCTTGTTGTTTTTGATGTATTAAATATAAAGGTATTGTTGACGGGTAAACTTTTCCGTGAAAGCGTCTTTAGATATAACCGTAATGGTCTAGAAATCATTGAAAGCAGAAGCAGAAGCGGTGCTAGAGTCCTTCTTATTCTTGTCCATATTATTCCAGACGACCATATTGTATTACATGATGACATTTTCAAATGTTTAAATGTTCGAGTGTGGTTAATCCTTTTGCTGTAGACGTCTCTGTCTGACCACAGTTTTTTCTTGGTGACGATAGATCCTCGATGTATAATGACTAAAGGACAAATAAATTCTGCAGACTCTTATACTGTACTATCCGTAAGTCTCATTCACTCTGTTGACGTCGTGTTTTTAATAGTTTATTACCTTTCACCTTTTTCCAGCCGTTTAATTCTTACTCAAGAGTGCAATTACGGTTACCGAGTCAAACTGTGAATACGTGGCTTGGTTAGTGGCTTAGGGGAGATGTATGATAGAATCTCGACGAATTCTTTCTTTCTGTACTTTTTTTTTTTTTCTTTGTTGCCGTGAGTACTACTCGTTATTGTATTAATGTATACGATATGGAGGCGGAGTTAAGTAGTGGCTGAGTATGGAGTCGAGCGATGTTGGTCGCTCGGCGTTTTAAAATATTCTTGTTCTACTATTGTAATGCGTCGTTAATGATGTCTGTTATTATATATTAATGTTCGTTACAGTTGGCGGCTGCCGTTCGAGACTGTTGCGGAAGAGAGATTTGTGACAGAGAGATAACGTAGAGTATATTCAATCGATATATCCTGCTTTGTATGACTGCCAAAGTATAGAGTCTAATATACTCTTAATAATTTGTTACATTTATCTCAGTAATTCATACACACTTTATACATTAACGCTTCATTGCAATGAGTTATTGGGATAAGCTTTCTCTTTGCCAATGTTCCAGTGGGTAGCGAAACTTTCTCGAGTATCAAACTGGGCTATGTTTACCCTAGTCTGGACAGATATTTAAGGAAATAATTGAGACTTTTTGAAATGTCAATCAGTCCGTTGTCATTGGTTGCTGATCTGTCCAAGCCCATTTGCAATACAGTTACGAGATCAGATGCATTTAATAATTATTCTATATATTACGAATTGTGCAAAAGTTCTAGTAGACGTTACACAGCTAGTCCACAGCCACCGAGATATATTGATAATTTAACATTAATATGCGAACAAAAACCACAGTAGTTTAGTTATGCCACATGAACCTTCACGCATAATGCAAGTGGCGTATATAGTATAAGCCAAATTGCACGTGTGAGGACAGACTTGTCCAGCATAACGCAAGTCGGTTTTGGCCAGTTTTCTTGATAAGTTAATATACAAGGGAAATCTTTTTTTTTTATTCTCAAATGTTTATCTGATTCTACTGAAGTCTTTTTTTAATATAGTAATTGAACACGTCCTTGATAAGCTTATCTACGGGGTTAACCAAATCCAAATCAACACTAAGCAAGAAAACGAACAACTCAAACAAGACTTTCAAACGGAGTGAGAAGAGAGATATCAAGAACTCGAAAACCTTAACATCCAACAAATCCAAGAATTTAAGAAAGTGAAAGCATAGGAGATCGAAGAATTGAAGAGACATACCCAAGCTTTAACTATCATTACCGTGATCTCAAATAGCAATAAAGTTGGCATAGAAAATGTTGGGCTCTAACATACTTTCTCCGGTAAGACTAGTGCTTTGAAACATTCTTTGCTGTGTGTAATTCTCGAGCTCGGTCTCTCATTAGTTATACATGGCGCACATATTATTGGTATCTCATTAGATTATATTTTTGCCATTAGTTTCAATAAACCAAGACAATAATCGCTCATTTTGCTATGCGAATGTAAATCGTAATCAATGAACAAATCGATGTTGACCATTTGACCCGTTTCGGGATTGTCACATTAGAATAATCTCTTGCACCAATAAACTACAGAATCTATGTGATAATGTCGGAAACGGGTTGACCCGTTCTCAGAATGAGTCAAATCCCAGAATGGGTCAGAGCATCGACATTATATTAAGAACATCCTAACATGTATGAGGTAATAGCATAACATTATGACAGTGCTATCGCCGGCCAAATTGACCGAGATATTTAACTTTAAAAGCGCACGGCCTTGTTGTGTGTTTGTGGGTCAAATGCAGGCAAACCAACATGTTAACTCGAGCATTTTAGGCGGGCTCGCATATACTCCATTATCGATAGAAAGCTAACTGCAAAGATATCTTGTTAATGGATTATTAAGATTAAAAATAAATTTCCAGAGAAATTAGGCCAATGCATCATTATAGTGGTAAATATAGCCACGGAAGCACAAACAAGCTGTCAAATGAGCCATGGGTACACTAAACAGACTGCGAGACCATCAAGTACGCAAAAACCCGTGATAGGACTTTAAAAATTTACTATGCTTGTTGAATTCTTTCGACATGAAGTCTTCTTATTGTTAGTAATGTAATACTATAAATAAATAATTCTACTGTACAATCAAGGAATAATGTATTTATTCTATTGACCACCCCCAACCTTATAAGAAAGAAGAAGGATTCTTCCAAGATACGTTAAAGTTATATATTGCACTTTAAACCATAACCGTTCAACTACAAACTCTTGTTAATCGTTGTATATACCGCCATCAAATTCATGTCAAAAATAAACAAAACTTGGCTCTCGTCATTGGCCTCGATAACTAATATTACCCACACGGAAGCATAGAATTTCTAATGTAATACCCATGCGGTACTTATTGTAATGAAATGCATACCGAATGACGACTAAAAGTCTGAATAAGTAAGCATAATCATAAGCATATGAACGTAAATGTCGAAAATGTGGGTATATACCTCTTGCAACAAAAAGAAACATGAGATGTAAATAAGCATTATGTATCTAGCACAAGTAAACCATGCAAAGCTCGGTTATAATCTCATTTACAATTATGAAAAGCATTATATATCACGGTAGAATGGTATTCAGTTACTTTTAAGGCGAATGAAGCCAAGCATGCATAATTAACCCGGTTTGCACTCGGCTTGGCATTAAAAGTTGAAGAGAAAACAAAGTTCACGGGGGAAGGCAATCTACATGTTCAATTAAACCCTATAAAGATAGAGAAAATGTGCAGGCCTAAAACGTATCTTTCAAAATAACGTAGAAAACTATCAATAGTAAAAATTGTGCAACCCAAACATCATATTAATGACTAAAGGCAATGACTTGTTTTTAGACGCAATCGAAAATAACGAGTTCATGAAACGGGGAGGGGAAGCAGTTTTTGGAACTCTAGCCTATTGGTGAATCGGAAAAGTTTAAGATATGAAACATTCTTAACAGAGAAGAAAACCGGGTCTATCAAGGCGAACTCGTAACAAGATTGTAGCATATCCCAGCTTCAGTTGACAAGAGGCGGATTCCGTAATTAGACACTAAATAATTAGGTAATATAAAAACTGTAAAAGGTCTCCTTGAAACGCATCGGAATCACACAGCAGGATGTGTTTGTTTATTATTAGCAATAATAGAATCAAGTGTACGACCCAGAGAATTCTGTTGTACAGAACCAGTCTTCTTATTTGCAGGGGGAGACTTTTAGGTTTAAAGACTGTATAATAGTTTCGTTTGCAAAAGCACCCAGGGCAACTTTTGGGTAGAAGAGTAAGATGTAATCAAAGCACCATGCAAGTTTTCTAAACACTATACATGGTAAAGTCTGGTCTAACTTGCAACAAAGATCCGTTCATAAAAGTTTGCTTTATCGGAGATAGTCGACACAACAGAACACTTTGTTGTTGTTATACATGTTTCCGATTGTATTCTTGGTACGTACCTTTGTTTAAATAATAGTTCATGGTTAAAAAAGATGACTTTGCATCAAGTAAAGTATTCGCTAATTCTGTAATTGTAAATGTTTCATAATGTGCTCCGACAATTCAACAACGGTACAGTAATGGGTTCTTTGTAACCATCTTACGTCAAATCAGCATTTATTAAAGTTTCAGGTTGATCTCCTTTACATATTAATTGGGTGAACATAATAATGATAATAATAACTAGCAATGGTACCGTTTACATTGTCGATAGTTTTTCGTGGAGACGATTGTTCTCAACCAATCATTTTAAATCATCAAACATAAACAATAGATAGTAAGAATATGCGAAAGTTTATTTACCGCAAATAGTTACTTGCTGCAATAGACTTGAACAAAGACTTCTCCGTATTATGCACTTTCGGATTGTTTATAAAACTCTTTATGATCTAAATATATTTAATAATCAGTCTTGTGTAGCTTAATCTATTATTAGAAAATATACAGTTTATCGTTAGTTACACTGTCCTTGTCAATATAAATAGGAGTGAGAACACCCCTTTTACATCCCTGCTAGTTTTCTATTCCTGGCCGCCGAGTAATAACTGTTGACTGCTCCCCTAACCAACTGGTTTGGTTAAGTTATATATAATAATAATACAGCAGCACACGAAATAATTATTATTATAATAATAATAACAGTGGACATTTAAAGTTCTAGCCGACATAAACAGGATTCATTAAGCTTTCTGGTCTATTGCTTATTCGATCTGGGCTGACTTGTAACGGAGAGTGCATATAACTACATATTTCCCTTAATTATTACTCCTTATCCTACGCTCATCTTCTTCTAATATCCGTTCGCTTCCGAAATGACCGTGAGTATTGCTGTAGTTATACGAAATGTCTATTAATTAATGGATTTACTAAAGCGCTTCTTATTTGTTGTATCAGAGACTGATTAATGAAAACGCCCTATTGAGCTATGAAGATTCATCAGAGTACGAGTATGATACTGAATCAGAAAAGGTGAGCAAGCAAGCAAGCAATACGTTATAAAAGCGTAGTGCGGGTTATTAACAACGACATAGTAATAGCGTAAACATTACTTTTGTTCCGAAATCGCTTTACTTAATTTATTTTTCTCTCTACTCTTATAGAATGTCGAAGATTCGTCATCTGAAGAGGAACAGTCTCTGCTTGAGAATAACAATCCAAATAGCAAACCACAACGGCCAGGAGCAATTAAATCGCTCCTTGCGTCGATGAAGAGAAATTCATACCAGAAAGTTAAGGAAGTATGATGCGGTACACTATAGACCAACATGGCTATTGATCCACTATAACGATTTCGTGCTTGGCTCATTCTTGCTGCTGTATTTATTGTATAAGTTTACTGCTTCTGAGCAGTTATTGTATAATACGAATAGAATAAATATTTTTGGTGGGAATATCGGCGAATTAATCTTGTTGTTTAATATGCGTTACGTTGCCTGCAAGAACCACATGTCTTGATACATTTCATTTGATTTCGTCGATAAAAAGCGTTTAGATACTGAACGTGTTAATCGTCAATCTTTCCGCTTTTGCCAGCATTATTATTTTGCATGCTTGCTTCACAAAGTTAAACCGAATTTTTGTCATGTGCTTCGTCGGTATCCCTGCAACATTTTCTTGTGGTGATAAATCTATCATGGCTGGAGATTTACGATTATTGATAAGGTTATCAGAAAGGGAGGGGGTAGGTCTGATTTGAAGATGTGCACATACATTGAGAGATAATATCAATCTGTCGAGTAAGCAATCACGGGGGAACGATTGATGGAATTTAGCTACTTTCGAACGGAGCTGTGATTTCTACTACTTGGTTAAATACAAACAAAAGTTAATGACTTTCAAACAGGCTTTACTACTCACGACCAAGAATAATTCGACCATTCCCTCCCTATAGTGTTGTGGTCTAATCGTAACTGACCAAAACGCGTTTATACCCAAGACGACTAACAATCGTAATGCCGCGAGAATATTCGCGGGACAAGAAGCGAACATTCCTAAACGATGTAGGGATTAGTGATTTATGCTATATCGAATAAAATAAAGATCTATTCATGTGATGCTGCAGTTCTTATACCGATATAGGAGAGAATTTAATGTTTTATATTAATAGTTTTTTAAGAAACAAACATTGGAGTTTTTTATTGATTAAGAAATTCCAAAATTAGCCAAGAATGACAAATATAAAGTCTTTCCCATTAAAGCGCTAGTGAGGCCAACGCTATTGAGTGAGTTAAGTTGCACCGCTTGGATTCCGATTAATAATCCCGATTTTTACGATACCTTATCATTATGATACTTTTATTAGATAACTAGCAAACAACTAAAACCAAGGGTGAGGTTGTGGAAGAACATGTGCACAGGTTGCAGAGTGCACAAAGACGACTTTGCGACCCGGTTATTGGGGACATTGAGTAAGATGGAGAGTAGACATAGTAATATGGGCTGTAATTTTCACAATTTATCTTAATGAAGTTGCTAACTCGTTTTCTATTCATTGGGTTCCTTGCGCTTCCTGTACGGCAGCCAAAAATCTGATTCAGGTGTTTGAACGAAACACTTATAAAGAAGTAAAAATGACGATCGAAAAAGGTCAGTCAGAAACATGTTAGGGAAGGGATTGGTTGCACTTATTTGGAAAACGTTAGAGATTTTGTGGGTTTTTATTGGGCACAGGAAATTACCTGGTGACGGTGGTATAATACTGATGATTATAATGTAAAAGAGTGCCGCGATGGAAGCCATTGATAAAATGCGAATATTTATGTGGATTATCAATTATGTTTATTGAGCAAATTGCTGGTACAATATAGTCTACATTCTCATTTGAAACTTACTTCCAGTTTCTCTATGCTGAAGAAGGGAGATTATAACTAGAGCTACTGAGCCAAATTCAGCAGTGGCTCCTGCAAGAGCTGAGTATTCCCTAGCACCACTTGAATTGTCAAAAGTGTTTGCATTTGCGTTGTCATTCAAAAAATGCACTAATAGCGCTATAGTTGTTCGTACATTCTTATGGTCTCACTCACCAACGCGTCGCCAATAAATGACGATAATTCCGTGTTTCCGTCGGCGCTGACCCGTATTTATACAAAATAATCCCGCAAAGGGACACCCAAGACATAGCAGTGTTATTCAATAGTTGAAGACAAAAATCGATTCGAATCGCGGGGTATCGCGAGCTCGAAATTTTCTCATTTTGTAATCAACGCAGATATATATATTATTTCGGTTGTCTGGCCGAGGAAAGCCTTTTCAGGAAAATTGATTCCCCGACTGTTTGTAAGCGAAGCAAAACAAATTGTCGACTCTAATTATTTTTGTCTAAAAGACCCGCAACTATAGGAATATTTTATGATCTAAGTTAATAGTTTCTGTAAGACTTAAACATCGATATAAATATTGTGTTTTAGAAAAGCTAAATTTATGAATTGTTTGGTGAATTGTGGTAAATTGTCCGCCTATTGCTGTATCTGTTTATAATAATTAAAGACTAACACAGTTTACGCGTCGCTGTATGAAATTTGCACAGCTTTTATGCAAGTACGTATAAACCATGCGGCGGTCTCGTTTTTTGAGAGAAACTTAGATGCCCTTTTCAGAGTCTGTCAACTAAACCCTAAGACCTTGCAGATTGTTGGGGCTACAAAGATTGTTTCTGCAACTGATTAAGCTCCCGAAGCCGTAATAGTAAACTAATTATGCCAAAAGAAATTTATCTGACTGTAATTAAGATGTGTACGTTATAGTTAAGTTGTGCCCAGACTTATCTTTTGACTTTGGCTGCAAAACTGATTTTATATTTTTGCGACGCCTGGCATTAGGCATCCAACTGTTTAATACATGCAGTACAAAAGTGTCTAAATATTACTGCTTATGTGATTGCCATCGATTGTACATTTATTAGAAAATATTATACTTGCTATTACTATGTTAAGGAACTCATTGTAATTGTTTTTTTCAAAAATTAATTTGTATGGCTTTGCCAAGCTATTAAAGTTTGGGTTGTATATGTTGTACCTCAGTTGGGGATCTGTCTGACACACTCAGTCCACAACTCCAACTAAGGTACAACATATACAAAACAAGTAATGTTGTTTACATGTGCATGGTAGTTATGCAGTCAAAACCTTTTTACACCATCTATTTTAATAACGGTTAGTCAGTGATACACTAACATATTAATGTGAGACACATAACAACCTAAGGTTGAAGATATTGCATACATACTTGAGAAAAAAAGATATTAGAAATCTTTGTACAGTCATGTCTGTATATTTGCATACCGCGTGTTTATATTGCATGATCCGTTCATTTGCATAAGAATAGCCTGTCCTTTATTGGGACTTATTATTATTAGCTATTTGCATAACGTAAACGTGCATATGATCAGAATGAACCAACTCTAATAACGTATACAGTCGACCCCCTCTGCAGTCACCCCCTATACAGTCACAATTGCATATAGTCACACATTTGTTCGGTCCCAGTTTTTTTCATAGTGATTTTACTCCTATAGAGTCACATTCATAGTATTAGTCACAGTCACACGATTTGGATCCCCATCACCATGAAGTCTATATATAAAAACCCCCTATACAGTCACATATTTGTGTAACACTGGTAAAAGAAGCTAGAATAGGTTTGGAAACCACTATTTATATTAGATATTTCGAACAGCAGTTTGACGCTGACTTTAATGTTGACAATTTACTCATTTTTCGTAAATATTCGAATTTGCTTAGTCTCAAAGAATTTCAATTAAAACGTCAACAGAAAATCGACTTTTATTTCACAAAATAACTTCTGGGTCATAATTATATACAAGATACTTTACAGAAACCTGTAGTTTTTATAAATCTCTCTGTGACATCAGAATAAGATCACCACTGTCTAACAGGCATCACGTAATGAGATCGCCATGAGAATTCTAATTTTAGTATATCGTGAAGATGGCCCACGAGATTTCGGGAATGCATGGAAATTTTACGAAGTTGAACAATCTAGCAGAATCTCGTGACAAGATCGCCAGGATACTAATAGAAATTTAACAATTTGTTGGTGACATCACGATGAGATGATTGCAATATTTTCTGATTGTAAATGTCACATGGTTATCAGCACAACGTCCTGCAAATCTCATAGAGACATTTTTAAAAAATGCAAGTTTCTGTAAAGTACTGTTTTCATTAATAAAAATTTTGTTATACGTGACCCTAACCTATAGTAGCCGATTCACAATGAATTCTTTTTATACAGTCACCCCCCCCCTTACAGTCACCGACTTTGGCTGGTCCCGACTGTGTGAGGTCGACTGTATATGCATACGTATTCTAAAAAAAGCAACAACGCAATCTCTTTATTTTCATCGATTGTACTTTGTTTCATATTCACAAATCTTTTGACATAATAATAATAGTCTATACACTGGGTATAATTCCTAAATTATTTGCAACAAGAATGACATAAATTTCTAGGGTTTCTAATTTTCCTTTAACAGAAACACTATTCTGTCTATTTACATTTGCATAAAAGTTCGTTAGTCTCAACAGCATACAAATAAACAGGTGTTAGTGTGAGTAGTTTATCTGAATAATAATAACTTATGGCAGTAACAATAATAATAAGTAATAATACTAATACTGATAGTAATTGTACTAATACCAACATTTTCATGAGTGAATGTAAACTAATTTATTTAACAGCACATTAAAGTTATTAATATGTAGATGAGAATAGCTATAAATTGTAATTACAATGTATCAGTATAATAATAATAATAATAATAATAATAATAATAATAATAATAATAATAACCTCTCAAAAATTTTGTTGTTATGATTATGGCTTTATGTATATTAATATATACTGTATATAGCAATAGTAGTAGTACACATGTTTTACTATTAAGTTTTAAAAAATAATTAAAGTAGTAATACTGTTATGAAACAGGTATATTAATAGTTGAGCATATAATAAGTTATTTTTCAACCATCAATATTGATATTAATATTGATAATTTTGGCACTTAATCATGTGATAATCAATTATATTACATCACGTGACCATATCAGCTCAAAAATAATAAAAATACAGACTCTAGTATCACACAGAATTCACATCACATTCAGATCTACTCATGCATAGTCAAGGCTTCACCCAACATCCTTTCAACTCTATAACTATACATGTATTACACTATGACATCCTTCCTTATTTATCATATTGTCTTACGTTGTGTTACATTTGTACCACTTAATATAGAGCTAATCCTTCAGTCTCACTCCTTAAACTCATTTAACTTCTTTTTCCCTCCGGCCTACAAACGCAATTCCTGATGTGTAACTAATCATACTCTCGCCAACTTCCTACGTACACGCAAGACAACACGCACCGACAATACTCACACGCATAGCACTTACAATGCCAAGAAAAGCCGGAAAAAAGCCAAACATGAGGATCAGTAGTGATGGTGAAGACACAGCAACGGCTGACATACGCGACTCTACGACGCGACATACGCGTGAAGAGCTGATCGTCGTCGTACCGCCTGTATCACAGAGAATGAGAGTTAGAAGAATGATCAGAATATCTGACGAGGAAGAAAGTGATGTTATCATGGTCGAAGGAGAAGAAAAAAAAGACGAAGATGAGGTAGGTCTGGAAAGCGATTTGGAGAAGTAGAACATGAGGCAAGATAATATGTATGATATGAGACAACTTAGGACTAATTAAGCGGGAGGGAGAGGACATTGTATGCTATAAATGATTATAAGTTGCAGTAGCGTATTTATCACATCAATCTGAACACGTGCTACGAACATTTTATTCTTTTACACACACACTATAACTCCCGACAGTCACAGATAGATGCCTCTGAAGATGAAGAATATAACTCAGTTCATTCTTCACCCAGTTCATCATCATCTACTCCTTCTTTCCGATCTACAATTCAATCACTATCGTCAGATGAGCATAAAGAATCGCCAACAAGACCCAAACGACGTGCGGCAAAAAGGAAAATAAACTATAACGAAGAAGCGGCTTACAAAGTTTTGGAGAGTATTGTACCCGCGCCAGCCAAGCTTAATGGAATGGAAAATGCAGACGATGATAGTGAAGAAGAAGCTTACATCGAGGTATCCAGTGACACTCAAACTAATACTAAACCCTCCTTCAAACGCAGAAAATCCCAGCGAGACACAATACGTGTGCTCTCTTCCTCACTGTCATCCGATTCTGAGTGTCATAAAAACACTAGCGACGCCTCTGATAATGCGACTACGGGTCTATCCATAATACGGACAAGAGGGCGTACAAGAGCAAAGTCTTCTAGTGAAGATGAATTGAAGCCTATGGATGTTGATGAAAATAATAACGAAGAGGAGAAAGGCAAGAAAAACGACAGGATATTGCGAACGAAAAGAAGATTACGTAACTCAAAAGATAGTGAAGAGGATGGTGATGACAATAATGTGGCCGATGGAGTTTCTAGTAACGGTGATGACGATAGAAAGAAAGAAACGGAAGACCGTGATAAATCAAGCGACGACGACTTCGTTCCAACAAAGTCTCGCAAACTCACCGTTGCATCAAATTCAAAAACCGGATCTGCCTCTCGTACGAACAAAAGTTCTCACTCTGTCACAAGTGCTGATTCTTATTCGGATTCTGCTTCGTCAGATTCTTTTATCAATTCCCAAACTGCAGTTCGGTTTCGTCCTCTTAGACGAACGCGTGCTTCGTATAAAGAAGAGATTAGTATTCCCGATAGTTCTTCCTCTTCGTCTTGTTCGTCTCATTCTTCCCGAAACTATCGTACAAAACGTCAGCAGCAACTGCAAAATCGCAAATCTGGCCCGCGCAGACTCCGTCAAGTCGTTTCATCTGATCCCTCGAGTGATTCCTATGACGAAGAAATTATAAAATCTCACAGATCTTGGTGCGAACACTGTGGTAAATCTGGGAAAAGACAAGAAAAGAACCGGAAAAAAAACGAAGACGAAGATAAATTACTTGTATTATGTGATTTGTGTTCGTGCTCATATCACTGGGGATGTATACCTCAATTGAGGAAATCAAAGAAGATACACAAGACATTTAGGTGCACAAAATGCATGCGGCATAAGAGTACTGTTAAATGTATGATTTGTAGTTTAGATATTAATGGGACTAGTATAAAGAGACAAGCAGACAAAGGAGAAACCGAAAATGATACAAATGGAAACCAAAAAATGAAACTAAGAGAAACGAAAGAAGTGAAGATGAAAAATGAAGGTAAGAGTGTATCCTGTCCTTGAGGATCTACTGTGGAAATAATAATACTAACAGATTCATTCTTACTGAGAACAAGTTTACTATCAAAATTCTTTCCGAATATTTATTATTCTATCTCACCAAGATCTTTTATCCTTTCTTGTATACTGGAAAATAGACTCTTTGGTTTTCTTTCGGTGTTATAGATGTAGTTTTGTTGCCCACGATCATTGTCTTCTGTCATTAGATGACGATGAGGGTAAGCGAATTAAGGGGAAGAAAAGGCAGACGGATAGAGACGAGCTGATTAAGACATATAGAAGGAAGTGGAAATGCAAAGATTGTTTGAAGTGGGACCATGAAGTGGACAGGATTTTGACGTACAAGTGGATGAGAACGGATGATTCGGACGCGGAGGTAAAAAGTGGAAAAGATGAAGCAATAAAGAGCAACGAAGAAAATCCAAATACAACTGAACCAGCGAATAGTACTAACGCAATGAATGACAATATGGAAGCACTAGAAGAATCAGACTCTCCAACAGATTCCACAAGCACAGACCAGACAAACAATTCATCTTACCGTCTCTTTCTCATAAAATTTGAGGGGCTCTCTTATAGACATGTTACTTGGGTCCCCGAACGTTGGATAAATAACGTGAATTCTTTCATGGTTCGGGGGTTTCTAAAACGATATCCTGACGATCCTCCTAGAATGGAGGAAGCTTTACCAGAGGAGTGGACAAAGGTTGACCGGGTTCTGGATGTTGAGTTTAAGAATGGGAAAACATTGTATAGTGTTACTTTTACAAAGATGGATGTGGATTTCCAGAGTGTTAAGGAGGTCAAGAAAGCTTTTATTAAATGGCAAGGGCTACATTATGATGAGGGTAGGTGGGGAGGGGGGAATGTTGGGTTACGAGTGAGTTTAAGATATGGACATACATCTCTGGATAATTGGTTTCATTGATTCTAATTATTTTAATTAATATACTTTAGCGTGCTGGGAAGAATCTATTGACACAAAAAAAGACTTGGACTTTCGCAATGCATACAAAGCTCGACTCGAAAACATGAAAATAAAATTTCCTATAATTCCCCCCACTATACGCAAGAATAGATCGAGAGCGAGACAGCAATTTATTGAATTCAAACAACAACCTCCGTACATCCCTTATACTCTTATGGACTATCAACTCGAAGGTGTCAACTGGCTTCTTTACCAATACCAGAACCAATCCTCCTGTTTGCTTGCTGATGACATGGGCCTTGGGAAAACCATTCAAGTGATATCATTTCTATCCATCTTACACAGGGAACATTGCATATTTCCTAGTCTTATTGTAGTACCTAAATCGACAGCCATCAATTGGGTAAGGGAATTCAAGAAATGGAGTCCAATGTTGCATGTCGTTGAGTATCACGGTGAGGCAACGTCGAGGCAAATGATCGAAAAATATGAGCTGTTCCCAAGAGGGGACAAAAGTTTGGCTTGTCATGTTGTTGTAACTACTTACGAAACAATGATGGGCTTTCCGGGAGTGTTTGCTCGCGTGCCATTATGGCAAGTGCTGGTTGTTGATGAGGCACATAGGTTGAAAGGCGGAAGTACTAGTCTGCTGTTTGCGACACTGAAGAAGAAAATTAAATTGAAGCATCGAGTACTTCTTACCGGTAAGGTGTTGGAACGATTAATTGGGGTTCGGATGGTTGGATACTGTTTATACAGTTAAATACTAATTGTGCTATATTGTATATCTTGGCATCAGGTACTCCGTTGCAGAACAACATTGAAGAGTTGTTCAACTTGATGAATTTCCTTGGACTGGAAGACTTTGAAGACCCAAAAGAGATGGCTGAGACATATGGAGATTTGAATAAAGAGCAGTTGGAACAATTACATGTCAAATTAAAGCCTTATTTTTTACGGCGTAATCGTGAACAAGTTTTAGGGTTTTTGCCTCCAAAGGTATTATCTGTTATAAGTGGTGATAGGAGTCGATATTTGGGATGCTTGGTCTATACCTGTATTATATATTATATATCTATTTGTTTATTAACCAATTGCTTCTGTCAGTGAGTCAACCATTAATATATATTTCCCTACTTGACAATTTTTTGAAATAGGCCGAAATAATAGTACCTGTGCAAATGACATCCCTTCAAAAGAAATTGTGCAAAGAAATTCTAGCAAAGAATGTAACACTTCTTCAAGGCATTCTAAAAAAAACTCAACTTGGCGCTGGTCGTCGGATGTCTCTTCATAACATTCTCGTTGAACTGCGTAAAGTTCTTTGTCATCCGTATCTAATACATGGAATCGAAGACACCGATATTGAGGATGAGGATACTATACATAAAAATCTAATCGAAGCTAGCGGGAAGTTAATGCTACTGCAGAAGATGCTTCCAAAGTTAAAAGAACATGGGCATAAAGTATTAATATTTTCGCAGTACAAAATGATGTTGGATGTAGCCGAAGATTTTTTGATAAAAGAAGGCTGGGAATACGTCAGGCTTGTACGTATTGTGTTGCAACCGAAAGACTCGTAATATTAATGTAAAGTGGAACCCATATATTAATGTTGGTAGATTAAATTGGCTTCTATGAATATTTAGGACGGTGATACTAGCGGAGACGAGCGTCAGGAAATGATTGACGATTTCCAAGCTCCAGGCTCAGATAAATTCGTATTTCTCTTGACAACGCGGGCTGGAGGTGTTGGATTAAACTTGAGTAAGTAAAAAGCGTCGGTATTAGCCGAGTGAAATGACAATTGAATCACCTTTGCTACAACTTTTGACTATTTATACTGTCATAGCCGCGGCAGATACCGTCTTTATATATGACCCTGACTACAATCCTCATATGGATATGCAAGCACTGAGTCGCGTGTATAGAATAGGACAAGAAAAGGTCTTAGTTTACATTATCTTTTTGGACATGTTATGTACAGAACAACATAGGAAATACTAAAATTATTGATAAATTCTATAGAAAGTTCTTGTATTTAGGTTTGTAACCAGAGCGTCAGCAGAAGGTAAGCTTGTGTTTAATATTCTATTATAAAGTTTATATGCAGGTTTTTAACATATTTCTGCTATCAATTCATAATGATAGAACGCATAGTCCAAATTGGTAAACGAAAATTAGTCCTCGATCATTTGATAGTCGAGAAAATGGAAGAAGAAAATCTTGGGGCGAATGATGTCGAGAGCATAATCCGTTTTGGTGCTGAAGCTCTGTTCAAAGATGAAGCAGACGAAACACCGTTGAAATACGATGATAAAGACATTGACAAACTGCTTGATCGCAGTCATCTGGTAAAGAAGATTAGTGACCAAGAGGAATCAAAGAATCTCAACGGACTTGCATTTGCTAGGATATGGGATACAGATAAGAAAGACTATACCGAATATGTAGATGATGAACAAGAAGGTCAGAGTGAGGATATTTGGGAAAAATTGTTGGAAGAGAGATTGGCTCATGCCACTGTTCAAGAGTCCACTCCGAAGGGACGAGGAAAAAGAAAGAGAACGAAAGTGGTATGTCGCTTACGTAAAATATTATTATTATCATTTACACATTATTTTATGACTGATTTGTTTTCTCAAAACTCGAATAGGTCAATTATTATGAACAAGACGTTGATCAATCGCCGTCAGCCAAAAGACGCCGAAAAAAGGAAAAGGAACGAGTAAAAGAAAATGATGATGAGTTTATTCCTAATGCTGAAGATACTGATATCTCTAGTTCACTCGGAAGTGATGCAGACTTGGCTGCTGAACATCTTCAGTCCATTGACCTCACCGACACTGACAAAGGGAGCTCTCCCGCACACTCAGGACATGCTACACCAGAAACGGCTAATCTTCAAACGTATAACAATCAACTAACACAAATGTACCGAGCTCAAGTAATGATGAATCAACAACAACAGATTAATCAAGAAGAGAACACCCAACTTCAAATACAGCAGTTAGCACAAGCACAATTGGCAAGAGCGAGGGCTACAGTAGAAGCCCAGGTTGCTAGAGCCCAAGCCCAAGCCCAGATTCAAGCTGCTCAAACGACGGCTGCTCAAGTTCAGGCTGCACGATTACAAGCTGCCCAGATTCAATATTATTATCCAAATAATCAACAAACTGCTGCTTGGATAGAGTATCATCGTCAATATACTCAACATCTTGTTGAAATTTATGAAGAGCGTCACCGCCGTGCAGTTATGCAAAGTCAGCAAAATGCATTGCAACAGTCTCCACGTAGGACAAGACATGAGCAACCATCCTCGGTTTCTTCCGCTTCTCCAAGTGCGCTACAGTCATCGCCTTCTAGGGGTGGACAAGAGCAGTCATCATTATCTTCTACTACATCTCCTCAAAACGCACCCCAGCCGTATCCAGCTGGTAATGAACAAGAACAATCCTCACAGATTTCACTCGTCCCTTCTCCATCTGAAAGGGAACAAGAACAAACCTTACCAACTTCTCCCATTCCTTCTCAAAGTGCCTCCGTATCTGAGAAGAGACAAGAACAACCCTTATCAACTTCTCCCATCCCTTCTCAAAGTGCTTCCCTATCTAATAAGAGACAAGAACAACCCTTATCAACTTCTCCCATCCCTTCTCAAAGTGCTTCCCTATCTAATAAGAGACAAGAACAAACCTTACCAACTTCTCTCATCCCTTCTCAAAGTGCCTCCCTATCTGAGAAGAGACAAGAACAAACCTTACCAACTTCTCCCATCCCTTCTCAAAGTGCCTCCCTATCTGAGAAGAGACAAGAACAACCCTTACTAACTTCTCCAATCCCTTCTCAAAGTTTACTCTCGCCATCTTCATCTGGGAATAAACAAGAGAAAGCCTCACCAATTTCGCTCTCTCCTTCTCAAACTACGCTTCAGTCAGAAACTCAAAATACACCACAGCCATTTACACCCGAGAATAGGCAAGAACAAATCTTAACAACTTCTCCCATCCCTTCTCAAAGTGCCTCCCTATCTGAGAAGAGACAAGAACAAACCTTACCAACTTCTCCAATTCCTTCTCAAAGTGCCTCCCTATCTGAGAAGAGACAAGAACAAACCGTACCAACTTCTCCAATCCCTTCTCAAAGTTCACCCTCGCCGTCTCCATCCGGAAATAAACAAGAGAAAGCCTCACCAATTTCGCTCTCTCCTTCTCAAACTACGCTTCAGTCATCTCCAGCCGAAACTCAAAATACATTTACACCCGAGAATAGACAAGAGCAACCCTCACCAACTTCTCCCTCTCCACAGCAAATAACTGAACTTTCATTACTTCCGGATTCTCCACCTCATCATGAAGTCCACGTTCTTATTCAGCAAACTCCTCCACCTCAAGTAACACTAATAACACCCCCACCATTGCGTCACACACGACGTTCAGCAAAGCAAAGACAGATTGACGAGCTGTTAGCATTCATCGAAGCTATACAGCAGAGTGATGAGCCTACTAAAAGAAGAAAACGTGCTATGGAAGCGATATATTCTAAATTACAAGAATTGGGTTATGACGTGGATGATTACTTTAGAGTTCGTTTGGAAAACCATGACATCGATTCTGCTATCATACCTTCCCAGGTGTTAATCAAAAACAGAAGGACGACTCGAAGGAATGGAATGGGGAATACCAACAGTACTGCAAAAGCCGTGCGATAGAATGTATAGAAAAGCAAGAACAAGATGCATAAGAGGATAATAGTAACTTTAGCAGCATGTGACCATAGGGGACAATAATTATAGAAAATCGGTTAATGTGAGAATAGACTTTTCTAATAAATTGTAAGAAAGCATTCGCTCGAATAATATGTTGTGATGGCATTATTAACTAGAAGAGCATTTTGTGCATTCAAATTCTGCATGTTTGTTATGAGATTTTTGTTTTTTAATAATTTCAATGGACACAAAGACAATTAAACGGTAATAAGTGTCTTTGCTATAAATCATTGAATAAACGAACGCTCCTTGCTTTTTCAAATTCTATTGCTTCCTGTTCATTTACATGACATGACATTTTATTTTTCTGAAATTGATTTTCTCTTCAAAGGCAACGCTGACCATATTCCATCATATAAAAATACATCTTGCTCGGATCTAGAGAGCTTGAATGCATGTAATTCTCTCTTGGAATCACTTTTGAGTAACCATAATTGCAACCTATTTTCAACATTATTTGCTTAGTGGAGTTATTATATTTTATTCTTATAATCCCATCAAGCGAGAGATCATTAGACAATCACAATTTCGTTGTGAGTAGGGTGCAAAGCAAAGGAACAAAAACATCAAGAAAATATAAGCCAGGGTACAATAGGGAACAGCATATTTTGCTTTGATGCTTCAGCGAGGAATCGCGTCGAATGTACGTGGGTGGTTCAAAAAGTTCTTGCCTCGTGCCTCTCGTTTACAGGCTTATCGATATTTGGAAGAGAGAGAGGCAAAGTAACATTATTATTACTGTCTCGTATATACTTGGGTTATTATAATTATTATAATAACACATTTTTATGTATGCAACTACTGACAATAGGTCAAGTAACAATAACAATTGATTAGTGCGATAGATACCAAGTCTTCACATAACCATCTTATCGAAGGAGAACGATAGGAGCACGTTCTTTATGTTACGAAAGGGAGCAGCAAGTATAGCAGCTAGTAAATCGGAAGATAAGTTTGGGTGTAAATATATACAAACAGTTATAAAGTAATATAAACGGATTAGAATGAGTTTGTTGTATCGCGCAGATCTCGCGTTACTTACGCAGACAAAGTGACATAAATATAGATACAGTTTATTTGGACATTCAGTATAGAAAAGTTGTAATGTTAGAGTGAACAAGGATGTACTGTGCTGACTGTGTTCCAATAAACAGAAGTGTAAAGCTGTATACATGCTGAATAGGACTTACTTGTCATAATAAATATTCTGTATCGTCAGCATTAGATTAAAAAAACCCCCACCCATTTAATGATAGATAAAAATTTCCCTATCAGGACAAAGTTCCGCCCTACCCGCCATCGTATTTGTATATTAATAACTTCTCTATGGTCCTCAATGGCCAGCTTTCTTGATAGTAAACCACCGAACTGCAACTTGGTTGAATAATTTTGCCCTGCGTGTAGTAAGTGTACCATAAACCCTGATTACTGGTAAAATTTTAACTCGCTCAGATGTCCTCAAATGCCAGATGTTTTACTTTCGAGACATCACACATACAGTATTCCAACCAAATTCCGTAGAAAAATATTTTTATTTCGTTTTGCTATTATCGCGTTTTTTGCCAAGCATAATAACGATCTCCTTTAATTCGATATATCCCAAAGGGCACGCAAAGATAATTATGCAATTAGAAACATGTGGAGATGTTGAAGTTCAACTTCGAAATAAGCAACATGCGGTTTTGATATGTTTTATATGTTCTAGAGACAAATATTGGATGTTTGAAAGAACTGGAATTCTTGGGTAAATTTCGACTTTTTCTTGATTTGACAAGTAATTTATTTAGCTGTTGATCTTATATTCTATAATAAAGCGATATGATCGAGTAACAATTTAATAACACTAATTCGTACTACTGTATATGATGCTAAAATAAGTGACTTTTAGAGGGTACGCTCGTTATTTATCTATTGTGTAAGTAATAATAAATGCCGTTGACGAGGGAGGATAAAAGTCTTGTCACTGGAGACAGCAGGTATTTGTCTTTTACAATTAATGAGTAAAGACGTGATTAGCTACCTTGTATAATAATAATGGCACAAGTCTCTATAAATCCCTATACTGGTATATCTATTATTGTATAATTATGGCATCTGCTATTCCCACATGGTTACCAGAAGATTTTATATGACGTACTTGGAAATAATAACAGAAGCGCCTTCTGCATATCATTGTCATACAGTAAATTACCCACATGCCTTCAAGTTCTTGGTAAATTTTTCTATATTTATTTTTACTCTCCCCTTGCGTATTATCTCTTGATCAAGCGAGAGTTATAAATCTAATATGTACTGCTTTTCATCAATTCATATTTTACATTTTTTGTATATCTTTTTTTTTTGTTCCTTAACCAAAAACAGGTTAAGGAATATGAGAAGAACACTAAAATAAAAGCAAAAGAAATAGAAAATAAGGAAAAACTTTGTATATACAGAAAAAAAGCCAACGAACGAAAGACTAGCAATCCATCGTTAAACTTAGTTATCACAAAACGAAGTTAAAAAATAAATAAAATATAAACAAAATTGCACCGAAGTCGAAAGTGTAGAGCGTAATCTTATATATACATTTCATGTTTCAAAGAAACAACTTATGATAAATTGAATTATTATGATTCTTGGATTAGTAGAAAATAAGGAAATAGTTCATGTTTGATTAATATGGCGAAAAAGCTTATCTAACGAACGAAAAATAATTGAAGATAAACGAAAGTTGTTTGCGATAGTCATAATTGCAAAAAATTGCCAGTGTTCATCAATGCTGCTATTATGCAACCAAGGAAGGAAGAAAAGAAGAGAGGAAAAAAAAAAGAGAAGACTTATATAAAATCGAAGTATTAGAACCATATTCTCTAACAACCGAAAACAGACACTCCTTTACCGCATCTCATTTGCAAAAACCAACCATCATCTTCACCCATCGCTCTCATCATGCCCTTCGCTCGCATTACTCTCTTGATCGACCTCCATAACAGTATCCTCATCTTCAGCTCTATGCCTTTCAGTCTCTTTCTCGCTATTAGACTCTTGAAAACCATCATCGACAGGTTTCTTCATGGCAGCGAGTTCTTCTCGAAGTTGGCGGATGGTCTCGTCCTTATCTATGACTTTATTGTGAAGTTCTACGATGTAATCGTGAGCTGAGTGGTGTGATTAAGAAAAAATAGGGTTAGAAATTAGTTATATGTCGCATGCACCTTGTTACAACCACAATGTATTTTGAAATCCAAGATTTGCTCAATTTCCCTATTCTCACCTTTTTTCAGCAAGAACAACTTGCTGACATTCTTTGAAGAAGCATCTTGACCCTTTCCATTAGCCGGGTCCGCATTTCCAGCCTTGATTCCATTACCTAGCGACGACGTGTAAGGAACAACTTTTTTCAACTCGTCAAAGGACTGTTTAAGAGAGTCGCGGCGTTTTTGTTCAGCAGCTTTATGTGTAGTGCGGCGTGATTCCAGAGATAATTGCAAGTCTGAGGGATAGCTTATCCCGAGGGATCTGAAAAGAATAAACAAACAATATTAGCATAAAAGAAAAAGTTGTACGTTTCTTCCCCTTCCCCTCTTCTCGTTATACGTACTGGGCAGTCCCCTCCAAGATATTCTGATAATTCGATTTCTGCGCCAACTGCTCTGCGATTTCATCAGCTGTAACACCAGGCAACTTTGGTTTCAAACTTGGGCTGATTAACGGCTTCATCGATTGAGGACTCTTGGGACCCAAAGCAACCGGAGAACCTCTTATGACGTTTCTTGCTACTACCTGAACGTTACCTAAATTAGACACGTTGATTCCTGACATGTTGCTCGTAGGAGACATTGCAACGGATGGAGCAAGAGCGGGTGAGATAGTAATGCCAGATGATGGAATTACTATAACGGGTTGTCCATTTATGGATGTTGTGTTAGACGAGGTATGGACTACAAGTGCTGGGCATTGGGAAATTTGTGAATTGTTGGACTGTTGGACGTATACTTGTGATTGTTTCTGCGTTGGAGATTGAGCAGATTGTATGGATTGCTGGTTTGATGATTGGACGGGTGAACGAGTGGCATTCGCGTGGTTACTAGCATGAGATTGTTGAGACGAGGTGGTCGTTGTAACACTGTTATTTGTTCCGTTTTTTTGCTTACTTCCTTTATTCTTCCCATCTAAACCTCCTTTAGGTAACGCTACGCCAGCCGATCCGTTTCCTTCATTATTACCACTTTCAGCTTTCCCGCTTCTCAATTTCATAATAGTCGATGGAGTAATTGGATCAATTTTTTCCCCGATATTGCTCATGCTCGGTCCGTCCGCTATCCTTGGCGCAACGAATTGCGATGGATCAAGTGATGACACAAGGTTATCACCGAGGTTTAGATTGGGCATCTGATCAGAATGAGTTAATGAAGTATCTTGAGAGCGAACAGATGTAGGCGTGGAAGCTATTGGCGAGGATGAAGAGGAAGATGATACAGAGCGAGAAGGCGCAATTGCGTGAAATTGAGGAGAGGTATTCTGCGTCGAACGAGACGGTACAGCAGTAATTGGTGAAATTTGAACGGTGGACGAAAGAGGAAGAAATTGTTGTGAGCCAGAATTATGAACAGATTGGGCATGTGGGGATACTTGTTGCCGTCGAGCCGTGCGCTGTAAGTGATCATGCATATGTCCTTGATGCATTTCTAGTTCCTGCATCTGACTATTATCTCTCATATCGATCTGTCCATCGATCTGCATATCAGTTTGGCCATCAACATTTAATCCGACTCTTTGTCTTTTGCCATCGTGCCCATCTTGCGACATTCGTTTTGTTCCCCTCCCTGCCAATACAGCAGGTCGGTCGGTAGACCTATTGTTATCTTTAACCGGATTATACCTATGATTTGAACGAGTAGTAGAGATGGATCTTGTCTTGTTTTTCTGTGGGCTGTGATGGATGGCTGTTGGTTGGACTGTGGAGTTGAGACTAGGTGCGATGTCTGAAGACATTGAAAATTGTTCATTTGGAGATAAGGTTGGCGAACTCGTAGGGGAGAGAAGGAAGTGTGCAGCATAGTCTGTGTAGGTTGTTGAAGAAGCGTTGAGGACGGTGGAACCGGAGCTTTTAAGAAAGAGCTGTGTGAATGTAGGAGAGAGTGTGTAGATTTGGTCGAGAAACGGTATATGTTAGAATCGTTGTATTATCTTATGCAGATCATCCACACGCATGACGTTGTGCAATGATAATCATCCAATTAAATTAATTGTAAAAATTAATAAATGGCTACTTGATAATTAATAATTAAGATAAAAAGAATATCTGAACACTTAACATGTGAAATCCCAACCCGTTATATAATAGCTTAAACGGACTAATTCTGGCTAGAATTTAAACTCGAACTTTTTGCATCGGTCGAATATCCTCAAGACGATTCCGAATCCAAAGTTCTAATAACCATCCGATATAAAAGATCTCTGACATGTATTTTCTTGACTAATATTGGACTTTAGGAAGAGGGGAGGGTGGTTCTGGTCTAATATTTCACATGTAGATAATGTTGATGTTGTTGATCTCTAATTCGTTTGCTCAAGCAGTTCTGAGGTTCCATTCTTTAATTTTAAACACCATATTCGCCTTCACTGAAGATTGAAATAACTAACGACTTACCCCATCTTCCGTGAATTCTGAACCATCCAGATTGAATGTTTCGTTTGTCATTAGAGAATAGTCCCCCACAATTATCCCATCATTTCCCTCGGGCGTAGGCAGCATGCCCCTATTCACTCCATAGGTATCGTGCACACTTATGTCGTAGTGTGGATGGATCATATTCCCATGGGAGACGTTTACGTGTGTAGGCACTTGTTGAGAGACATGGTGTCCACCAATATGACTCTCAACGTGCCCATTGACACCGGTGCTGTTGTTTGTATTCGTGTGTTGCGTATTAGTCTCATGTCCGTGACGTTCATGACCGTCGATCTGCTGTGAATAGGTAATGGCTGATGTATCCATTCCATGTTGTTGAGACGACGAACTTGGATCGAGGAGATAATCATGATAGTAGCCTATGACTTCGTATCGGAGATCCATGTCGTTATTTGATATAGAAGATATGATGGTTGGATATGTTTCCATTGTAATTGACGTAAATTTTCAAAATATATATGTTGTGATTTTGGGATATCCGGTATAGAAAGTTGTTTGGGCGTAGAATGTTAGAGTGAACAAGGACGTACTGTGCTCAATAAACAGAAGTGCAAACTGTCGATGTGACCGAATCTATATAGTAAACAGGATTGATAGCGACTGTATTTGACACTTTGTGAGACGAAGCAACTTGGTTGTGTGTGGGGAGGGATGCGACAATACAAGAAGTATATTATGGACTCGTAAACTCTGATTGTTATCGTACTTAACTCATCAGAGACTATTGATTGGGATTTGTGGGGTTAAAAAGAGGTTAGTTCGACGTTCGAAATTTTTCCATTTTATATACATAAATAGTGCAAATGCTCCTCATCCAATAATATACAGAACTTTATCCAGTCGCTCGAATTGAAACATGTTATTGGTTACCACATAATTGACGATTCGGTCTTACAGGAGGTACAGATAGTATGAAAGGGATTGTGGACAGAAATCCGTCAAGCGAGTAGCAGCGATTTTCTTCAAACAATGTTACCAGCCCTCACTCGTAAACATTGGTGGCTGCATCAGTATTGCGGCGGGGCTTGTCGATATTTGGAAGAGAGAAAGAGAAAAAGAGAGGGAGAGAGAAAGAGAGCAGAGAGGAGAGTGTATCATTATATTATTACTGTCTCATGTATAAATAATAACGGTTGTTTGGTATAATAATAATATATATATTACTATTATATTTTATGTGTGCTACTGCTAACAATAGGTCAAGTAACAATAACAATTAATTAGTCAATAACAATCGATTAGTGTAATTATAAATAAATAAATACGTACAATTTATATTGTATCACTTAATTCATATGCTTGGATATTTACCTTTTTGTACAGATCAACTCTAATCTCGTATATACAGGAACTTATGTATATAACATACATCACAATATTATATTGTGATACAAATGAAATAATCAGCAAGATGAACTATGATGATGCCGTCATTACACATCTGGTACACTGGCATTATCAGCGATTCTATGCACAATCTACATCATCATCATCATCATAGATGGAACTATTAAGTAAACTGATGGTGCGGAAATGATATTTTTGACTGTCAAAATATGTACATATAAAACCATTCTATGTTCTATTATTGCATTATCATTTCTATTGTATCGTGCAGCATCAACTACTGCCATGCCACTACTTATCATCGTGGCAGCCTAATATTCGGTTATCGTATTGCTTGCTTGCTAATATTATTTGCTCCAAGAAAGATAGGCATGACAGACTTCATCTCAACATTGACGCCCTCCCTACTTCTTACTAAAACATCTTTCCATTGATATGAACAGTCGTTACACAGCGGAAACATCAAAGCGGAGATATATGTTGTACCCCCATAAACAGAGCAAAACTGGCCTTGTAGCAACCAAGTGAAACACTGCAAGCAAAATGCGTGGGGTAATAATTGGACATAGTTGATTTTAACAGTGGTGATATATCAGCGTGGGATTACAATTTGCAATACACACGTTAACCCGTTTATATTACTTTATAACTGTTTGTATATATTTGCAACCCCAACTTATCTTCCGATTTACTAGCTGCCATGCACTGCCGTTCCCTTTCGTAACATAAAGAATGCTCTCCTATCGTTCTCATATCCACCTGATCGGTAAGACGGTTCTGCAAAGACTTGGTGTATATGAACCACCACGATATACAGTATAACGAGTAATATCTATCGCACACAACGTATATGTGGCTGAAATGTGTGCTGAATATGCGCTGAATATTACAATGAACATAGTACGCAACGTGCATGGATATGCTCTATGTATACATCGGTATGCGTATGTACATGTACGCATACATATAACTATCCGTTTTGGTTTATGTCACCGTCAAATAAACTGCATGTTACAGATTTCACTTGTCCAGCGTAAGTGACGCGATCTGCGCGATACAACAAACAAACTCGCCATCTACAATCAGAGTACACATATAAACAGGCGTACACAAGGCAGATTAACCGCTATATTATCACATACGAGTAAATCACAGTAACTTCTTGATATTTGGAAAAGACACACGCACAAACCACCCTTACGTAACAATATGTTTGTTTATCTTTACTATAAGTGGACCGGAAAACGGTTTACTTTGACAAGTGCAACAGGCTCTGAATACTTGAAATAGTCTCTATAATTAAGCTTGTGAAATGACGTCATGTAAACAATTGTCCGCTGTCAATTAAGATCTACTGTGGTGTTGTTATTTCTGTCACAATGTCACCTTTGACAGGTGGCTGACAGCTCTATTTTTGCAATTATTTCAAAATCCATCCTTTACTATGAAAAGATATACCTGTGTGTATTTTACTTTCTGTAAACAGCTCATTACATAACTTATAAGCCCCTTGTCGTTTTTGATTGGCGAAAACCATTGCATATATAAATAGCAAACCGCTAAAAACACTTTTACCAATTTAAGCCAGCTAGAGAGTATTTTGATGTAGTACAAAATTGAAATTAGATACTATCTTAATGCTTTGCTAAAGTCAGCTTTTCTTGACTCTCATTACTGTTATACCTAATGACTTTCTTGGGCACAAACAATTCAGTGAAGGAATTAGATTATCTGCTAAAGGATATTTTCTCATGACTGAAACTAAATAGTCAGGTGACGATCTAGAGCAGTACAGTTTGTGATTTAATCAGACCGGGAGTTGCATTCATGGATGATGGTCTACATTTATAAACGTTGAATAAATTAGTGTTTGTATTTAAAGAGGGTAAATATAGTGCTGCATTTAGCAAAGTTACAAAAAAAAAAAAAAGACGAGAATTGATAAAAACTTTAAAATGTAAAAAGATATTAATAAGATTGAGTCTATTGAAGCTATTTAGACTAAAGCAAGATAATTATTAATGTGTCTATACATATCAGTATTAATTATATCGGACCGTCTAATGGTAAATATATGGTAGTAGTCTTATTCGATTGAGTCAAATAATCTGTTGAATTGTTTGACTACATTATGAGATTAATTTTGTACTATGGTTTTGGCAATAAAAATCCTATAGTAATAGTACATCAAACATTAATATTACTGATATATTGTAAGCCAAATTTAGTTAATAAGAAATGTGCACATTAGTAAGAATGGCAGATTTTTTCTTACTGTATTAAGTAAAAACGTAAATCAGTGGTAGATACATTATATGTTACTCATATGGCATCAATTTTGTACAATGTTATTAAATTATTTCTTCTTCTTTTACTTTTTTGTATCAATTGTTCCAGCATGCTTGGGGGGAGGTGTTTTTTTTTGTATTTCTGACTATATTCACAATTCTATTAATGAAATATTACTACGGGCAAGTTAGATATAAGATAACTGTTGTCTGCGTATAATTTTTCGTTGATACAACCCTCAAATGTGTAGAGAAGCAACGTGTATCTCACACAATTAAATGTTACGTAGTTAATAGAAGTCAAAGTCACGATCCAAGTTTTAGAATTATTTCATGAACTTTTGGCATGTTTTAATCACTTAAGTATTTCAAGTTGTTAGTCATAATGTCAAACCAGCTGTGGTATATAAACTCGCACTGGTCGTAGCGTGTAATACATGAAATTGCATTTAATTGATCATTGACTGCAAACAGTGGAGTCTATCATGGTTTATCTACATTAAAACATTATTGTCACGAAACAGTCGTTTTTGGCTATCTGACTTGCTGCTTTTTGTGAATAACAATGATTTATTTAGAATAATAACATAAAGTATTATTACGAACACAAACTTATGTTAAGAAGGAAAAAAAGTTCGAGACTATGGAAAGTTTGAATTCGGAAGTAAATTGATACGAAGATGCAAATAGTATATTACATATGTCGGCTAATTGTATGACTGACGAGGATAGAATCACGACTACATTTGTTGTGAGGCTTACGATTTTCGAGTCCTAGAATTATTCACCGAATTGTGTAGCAAGACCCTGTAAACTTGGTTGGAAACGCTACAGTCAGCCTTATTTCTCAGTTGATAATCCGTATACTAATGGGATGTAATTCAATATGACCAGTAATGGCACAGATTAAATTAGTTAAGTTTGGGCTTGACGAGAATTAAATGCTTAATTGAGCTAACTAAAACATCGTCCAGTTAGCAGTGACCGCTACGTAGAGTAAATATAAAAACGCTTAGTTACATGGAAAAGAAGATAAAAGTCCCTCGCTGATATAGATTATGATCGGTATAAAGCCGTTTGTTAACTTCTTTGTCAATGTGTTCAAAAGGGTTTGATTTTCCCCACATTGTTACATGTTAATGGTTTCACCTGGCTACTAGCTAAAACTCGAATCACATTACCGAAAACTTTATCTGTTGCATTTATGGTTATTGAGCATAATTGTACCAAATAACGATTGTAACTTTATACCTTTTCAAAGTTCTAATCTTCAAGAATTTTGTAACAGAACAAACTACAGTTTTTCTTATGCAATAAAACGCGTTTTAATCTCTGTTTACAGTTATAGTTGTAATATGGGTAATAATTGGATTGTTAGGTTTCAAAAATTGTAAACTGCTAATAACCAAGATTTGCAAATACAGTCAACCCTCTTTATAGTCACCCCCTCTATAAGTACATCATATAAAAACCTCTTTATAAGCACACCATGTTTGAGAACCAATTACTATTGAACTTATAGGAAAACCCCTCTATAT